TGTGTGTGTGTGTGTGTGTGTGTGTGTGTGTGTGTGTGTGTGTGTGTCTGTGTGTGATGTGTGTTTTGCCTTCCTATGTGTCTTTTTTTTAATGGACAGAGGTGTTCCTTATAAAGTTTTATAGTCAGAATTGTTTTTTCTCTTACTGATCAAAGGCCTGTTTTGTTTTCAGCCCCAAAAACTAAATCAAAGCTTATATTTAAAAAATAAGTGGAACAAATATGTAGTCTACACAAATTTTGACCTCCCTCCTACCATACACACACACACCCTAAATACTATTAGATATACTTGCAAACATCTGAAATTTATGAGGGATAAAGCCTTGGCTTAAGAAGAAATTTAAGTGCCAAGGAAATCTTGGTGCTATCTTGAAAAAGTAGTTCAAGATAAAAGGCTTCTTGTCTAGAGATGAAGAAAAAAATATCTCGTGTGTGTGTGTGTGTGTATACACACACACATATGGTTTCATTTGAGATGTGGCAATAGATGAGGGCATAGAATTAATCTTTGTTGAATTTTGAATGAAAAATTTATATATCCAAATAAGAGCCTGAAGGGTAGGAATTTTAGGACTCTACTCTCTACTGAGTGTTTTTAAACTGGGGTCCATGAACTTTTTAAAAAAAATTTTGATAACTGTATTTCAGTCTCATTGGCTTCCTTTGTAATCCTATACATTTTATTTTGTGTATTTAAAAATATTATGCTGAGAAGGGCCAACTTCCAGAGAGGTCTGTGACATGTAGACCAAAGTTCAGAATCCCTTGTTGTATGTTCACTGATACAGCACATGACCTTGGAGAAGTTACTCTCCCTTTTGCCTCTATTTATAAAACTGGGAAAAGCAGGACTGACCGATCTCACTGTTAATTTAACCAATGCCTGTCATGTACCATAGTATACCATACCTTGAAACAAACAGGAATGTCATGAAAGTAGAAATTGTGAAGTTGTGTAGAAAGTGTTAAGTGTTACCCAGGAATGGGAATGTTCAGGTGGGGCTTCTCTGTGACCCCCTGAATTAGGAAGATTTCTGTTCAACTTTTGAACTTGCCCTTGCAGGCCAACAGATGACAGCAACCAGCCCCCAGGCAGAGGAGTTCTCTCTATGCATGGACTCACGTTTGGTGTCATCAGAGTGGATTCCGAGGAAAAGCTCTCAGTTCTGACTGTGCAGGATGTAGGCTTGGTGATGCCTGGAGGTAAGGACTAGCAGCAGCTCTGTGTTCTGGAAAATAAGCAGCATGAGATTTTTTTTTCAACTCTGGAAAATGTGTTAATAGAAATACCAGTGCTGTGTAACTAGAGGAACAGGGATCCAGAGTATTTCTTTTCGTTTTCTTTAGCTGATTAAGAAATGCTATCCTTGAGCATTTTAGCGTGTTCCTTATTTTGGCTAATCCTTCTTTCTCCTTTCCCTTTTTATCCCCACACTTACCCTGATGTAGCATAGCAGTATGGAAATAGCGGTTGGTCAGGGAAGGTGTGTTTTAATCCTGACTCTGCCATTGACCTATGTGACCTTAGGTCAATCATTTAAGCTCTCTTGGCTTCCATTTTCTTATTTGTAAAGATGATGGGGTTGGACTGTCTGTCTGGTATGTGACGTTGCATCCATTTAAAAACCCTATGATTCCTAAATTCCTAGATTGACTGTTCCATTTTCACCTTTGACAGTTTTGTTTATTCCTTTGAATACACTGGATATATGTCCTTTCAACTTTGGATCATGGGTCTAGAAATCAAAGGGGATTTTGAGATCATCTAGTCATACGTATTCCCTGATATCACAATAATAACAACAATGATGATAGCTAATGTTAACATAGCACTTTAAGGTTTGCAAAGCGCTTTTACAAATATTATTTCTTTATGCTTATCCTCATAACAGTCCTGGAAGGTGGGAGCTATTATTATTTCCATTTCACAGATAGACAAACCAAGCAGATTGAGGTTAAATCAGCACTTGCCCAGGGTAAGTGTCCAAGGTGGGATTTGAACTTTTAAGCCTTCCTGATCCCAGGTCCAGTGTTCTGTGTACTATGGCGCCACCTAGCTGCCAAGTGCTTTAAACATCTCTCGTATGATGGGTCCAATGCCCCTGGGGGATGGGTGCTATTATTATCCCCATTTTACAGTTGTGGAATCTGAGGCAAACACAGGTTGAATGACTTGCCCAGAGTCATACAACTGTTAAGTATCTGAGACTGGATGTGAATGACGGTCCTCTAACTCTGGAGCTAGTGCTTTTTCCAGAGCACCATCTTGGCTTCCTTTTGTGGAGGCACAGCACCTTCAGCCTTGGTGGCAACCTTTTTAGTCATTTTATGAGAGTCTTACCCAGGAATTGGAACAGGATCACTGCTATGTGCATTATCCAGACCAAAATAAAGCCAGTTTAATGTATTTGACTACATGTGTAACTGTAATTCATGGTACAAAGTATGATTTCTCAGGAGAGAGGGTAGTAGGCAACATATTTGGAGTCAAAGAACCTGGGTTCAAGTCTCAGGTCTTCAGTTTATTATCTGTATATCCAAATATGATCTTCTAAAGCATATGTCGTAGGGCCATAGATTTAGAGTCAGAAGGAACCTAGAATGAAGGGATATATTAAGAGGAATCTAGAGATGAAGTCGACTGTAAATGAAAAGCTTGGTCTGGATGATCTTTGGGGTCCCTTTCATCTATAAATCCTGTGAGCCTGTGACCTGTGGGTACCATTCTGTGCTTATGAATTTCTCTGCCATAGTCAGGTCTTCCCATTGGCCTTCATTTTACCCCTTTCAGGCACAAAGGGAAGTGAGTCACCCATCAGATTCTTCCTCCTGTGCTCCCACACATCACGTAGTTACCTGATCTCTTGGTGAAATCTTTACCCATTGTTGAAATTTTGCTTTCATTTATCCTTGGCTTTGTTATCTCCCTGACATTGGCCTACTCTGCTTTCCAGTGCGAGAGAGGCATCTTTTTTCAAGTTCTGTGTCATAGGGTTGGCTCTAATAATGAACTCCAACACTAGAATTCCCCAAATTGTCACCCAAACTGATCAAGTCCTGGTATGAGTCCAGCTCCTTGTCAGGGACTGGATTAAATGGGATGGAACACTCTCTTCTGGTCCCTAGTCACATTTGTGGTCTGCATTTAGACAAGATGGATACCTTAGTGAATGTATCAAGATGCAGCATGCAAGAAAAACTTGGGAACTCTATCTGTGGAGTGATTAAATAGAAGCCTAGACTTCTCTTTGGAAACGGTTACACATGTGAAAGAAAATTTATGTCGACAAAACAGCCTGCTAACACCTTTGCTACATCTCTAAACTTAATAAAAATTTAAGATCAAAGTTTAAGATTTTCATTAGGCATTTGAAGCTTGAATATGGTTGTGGCTTGTTAGCTGTTAGTGTTGAAAAGATTTTAATGGACCGGTGTGCCTGTATACATTTGTTGATTTCCAGGAATATAGCTGTTCTCCTTCAAACAACTGCCATATTACATTTTATTTTATTGGGGCACAGGGCATGGCGACACCGTATATGTTTATATCCTGGGTTTATCCTGAATATCTCAGTCTTACCCACACATGATAGAGCATCACTGTTTGTTTTAGATAAATTTCAATATTAAAATTGGAGAAATTTTAATTATTTGTCTCTGCCACAACTTTTTTTGCTGGAATACACAAAATCATCGCTCCTCTCTTGGGGAAACAAATGCCGGGCTCTTTGTTATTCTGTTGATTCTATGCCAGGCTCTCTTTTCCATTCTGGGGTGTACATTCTTTTGTGATGTCCTTTGTACTTTCTTGTTTCACTTTTAGCTATCATGTGTGCAGTGAAGCCAGATGGAATTCCTCAGCTGTGCAGAACAGATGAGATTGGAGAACTCTGTGTGTGTGCAATTGCTACGGGTACATCATATTATGGCCTTTCAGGCATGACCAAGAACACTTTTGAGGTAGGCTGGATGGAAATGTCACCAAACAACCCTGCCTGGGGGTCACTTTTGAAGCTTCACCTCATGGTAGCTATTTTTAGATCTCACGTGGTGAGTGAATAGGGTAAAATTATGATTTTTCTTTAAGGAAACTGATAGACATTTTTGTTAAAGTGAACTCGGGGAGTTCTATGATAACTGCTGACTTTCTGCATCACTCCAGTTTGGTGGCTAGTTTCAAGAACAGAGGGCTTTTTTTTCTGGCACTCATTAGTCTGCTGGTCAGAAGACACTTATATGCTTGTGTTCATATGGCATTTTGGAAAGTACTATACAAAATGGCAACCAGACTGTAAGCTCTTTGAGGGCTGGAGATATCAGTTATATATCTTTGTATTCGCGAAAGCATGTAGCACACTGCTGGCCCGTAGTAAGTACCAAAAAAATATTGAGTGAATGAATGAATGTCCAACAGACCACAGACCTCAGAGGACCTGGGTTTAAAATCCTGGCTCTGTCAATTACTACTTGTGTGGCACTGGTCAAGTCACATGACATCTCTGGGCCTCAGTTCTTGCTCTGTAAAATGCGGGGTTTGGATTGTGACCTCTGAAATCCTCCCCAGCTCTAAATCTGTGCTCCTAGGATTCTTCCCTAAAGGGGCTTTCTATCTAATACTTAATTTGGATAAGCCAACAGAACATAGAAACATCTAACATATGTGAATTGTTGTGTAAACATTATGATCCAGAATATGAATGAATGTGTATTGTGGGATAGCGAGCAGAGGGGAATTAAGGGGAGCTTAGTGTTGAAGTAGAATGAGCTTGGGGTAAACAGGATGGACTGTTGCTGTCTGTGGCCATGTTTTACCCCTCTACTCGACTGTAAACTCCCTGAAGGAACAGAGCCAATGTCTTATCTCAACTTTATTTCTTCTTCCAGTGCCTAATATAGGCTTTGGATATAATAAACACTTAGTACATAATTGATGGTTAAATGAATGAGCATCTTATCTCTATCTTTCCCATTAGCTAAATGGTCAGTAATCTTATGGCACCTCAGTGTTTTCCTCTATTTTATCATGGGATGGGCAGAAAAGCACATTTACCAATCTATGGTTCTGACATCATAGCATAATGGAATACTATTTTTTTTAAAAGCTAACATTGGTATAGTGCTACAAAGCACTTTGCAAATATGATCTCATTTTATTCACACAATAATCCTGAGAGTTTTTGGTGCTATTTGAGTTAATGGGTTTGAAATTATCAACCCCCTTTTACAGATAAAGAAACTGAGACAAACAGAAGTTAGTGACTTGCCTAGAGTCACACAGCTTATTAAGTATCTGACGCTGGATTTTAACCCAGGTCTTCCTAACTTCCAGGCCTGGAACTCTATCCACTGCACCACTGAGCATTTTACCAAGTGATTTATAAAATAGGTAGTTTGTTTGATAAACTGATAAAGATGAAAACAAAAGGCTTGGTTTCGTTGAGCAATAAAGGCAGCCAGAATCTGAGCAGTAGTAGTTTAACAAGTCAACACCCACTTTCTCTTAGAGGGTTAGCTTTGTGAGAATAGGGCCCATATTTTCCCTGCTTTTCATAGAGTTCCCTGTGATACTATCCTGGGTATGCCAATTTTTTGGAATTATAATCTTCATAATTTTTTTGAATCTGTATTCAGTCTTTAAAAATATACTCTGACTCCAGACCTACGTGTGCCTAAGTAAAACATATGTGTCCTTCCATACATGATTCATTTATCCATTAGCTAAGAAAATACATTTATACTTTCATTCACTTCTCTTACATTTCTCTTTTTTATTGTAGGAAGTAATAAGAGAAAGTAACATCTTCATGAATGGTATCAAATATTTTCATAGCTAAAACATGAGTTCTGATTTTACATATATATTCACTTTCATATCCGTGATTTTTAAATACATTTTATTGACTTTTTTGTTTTTAGATCACTTACATTTCTCAGTGTATCCCTTTTTCTTCCCCCTCCCAGATATTTATCCCTTAAAATAAAGAATAAAAAGAGAGGTAGTAAAAGTTCAGCAAAACTAATCAACACATTGAAAATGTCCAATGTTATTGACAGTGTTCTGCACTTATCTTCCCCTACCTCTGCAAAAACGGAATAGGAAAGTGCTTTCTCATATCTCTTCTTAGGGGCCAAGTTTAAACTTTGGAATTTCAGAAGGTTCAGTTTTGCTTCTTTTGATGTTATTTTTACCATGTTATGTGACTGTAGTCATTATGTATATTGTTATATCTTTTTTTGTTATAAACATTGAATACCCGTCTTCCACTGAATTAATTAGCATTTATTTGATCGTCGTTTAAGAAGGCAGTTGACAGTGGGGAGAATATCTGGACAAGGGTGCCCAAGTAGTGAGGAGTCTAGAAACCAAGTAAATAGCAGAAAAAAAAAAGATTTAAGAAAGCTATGGTAGATATCAGAGATACTTAAAGGGCCACCTTCTAAAGAAGTTCATCTGGTCAGTTGGTCCAAAGAAGTTACTGGGTGGCATTTACAGGGAAGTGTCTTACGTATCAGTAAAAAAAGATTAAAGTGAAATGAAGTAGTAGGAAAAGCACTACATTTGCAGTCATGAGACTTGAAATAGCAGCCTTGGAACCCTGAGTAAGTCAGCTAGCCTTTCTGAGCCTCAGTTTCCTCATCTGTAAATAATCTGTAATATTATTACATCATATGTAATATGAGGGATATTGTGAACATCTCTCCTTCACAGGGCTGTTGTGATGGGCAGATTAGGTTTATAAAGTACCCAGGGGTCATAATTTGTTGTTATTCAGTTGTTTTTCCAGTTGTGTTCAACTCTTTATGACCCCATTTAGGGTTTTCTTGGCAAAGATACTGGAGTGCTTTGCCATTTCCTTCTCCAGCTCATTTCACAGATGAGGAAACTGAGGCAAACAGGGTTAAGTGACTTGCCCAGCGTCACATAGTAAGTAGCTGAGGTCAAATTTGAACTCAGGAAGAGAGGGGTCTTCCTGACTTCAGGCCTGGCACTCTATCCACTGTACCACCTAGCTGCCCCAGTGGTCATAAAGTGCTATATAAATAAATATGAGTCAATATTATTATTAAGCTATCTAACCATAAGAAAATCTCTGCAGTTGAATGAACCCGTCATATGGATTATAAGATTAGTAATAAATGAAATTACAGGAGAAATGAAAGAAAAGAGGCTTTTCAGAGAAAAAGATTTTTAGTTTTATCAGTTCTCCAGTCCTTTTGATTTCCAGTTTTATCATGACAAAAAAAAAAGTATTACATATAACAATATATTTCTAGCAGCACTTTTTTTTAGCGAAGAACTAGAAACAAAGGTAGCATCAACTGAGAAGAAGCTATTTTTTCTTCTTCCTCTTAAAAAATATTTGTTACAAGGGATGGCTCTCTGGGAGAAGCAAGAGGGAGGGGCATAGAGGAAAATGAAGAGCATATAAAAATAATGATATAAATAATATCTTTTTTTAAGGCATGTAATGTAGTTAAAGAGTAATATGAGGAAAAGAGCTCTGAACTGGAAGTGAGGAAAAATATGCCATGGACACTATCTAGCTTTTTGACCCTGGGCAAGCAATTTAACTTTTATAATTCTCAGTTTTCTCATCTGCAAAATAGGTATAACAACACCTGCAGTATGTCTCCTACTTATTTTGGGTGAACCTTAGTTTTTCCTATTTGTTTCCTTGCCAAGTATATCTAAAGGAGTTTTATTAACAGACTAAAAACCTAAGGGCAGATGAGCTCTAATTATAGTTCAGCCACAGATTTGCCATTCAATACCTAGATGTCACTTTTCCTTTCTTGGCTTCAGTTTCTCATTTACAAAATATGGGGGGGTTAGGCCTTCCTAGTTCTAAAATTCCAGGATTCAAGAAAAGACCAACAGAGGAACATTCCATAACAGGCTTACATTCCATTCAGTGCTTATGTTTTCAATCAGAAACTGGATAACCAAGAATATTATGAAAGGGAATCCTTTATTGATTGTGAGGTTTGATGTCAACGAGGTGATTTGGAAAGTCACTTTCATCTCTAATGTTCTGTGATTTTGTTTGTTTTTTTGAGATTGCTTCTCCCTGTCTCATACAAACAGAAAGTATAGGAGTCTCTTTTGGTCCGAGCCTGTACACAGTCTTTGATCTGCTCTGCTTTTTAAAGCTGAGCCAGTTCACTACTCCTTAGGTGGCCTGGTTGACCCCTCCATCCAAGTGGCTTGCCATGTTGCTTCTGGAGGCAATGCAGCCAGTCAGCTTTAGGCCAGTGCAGCTCAGAACTCCTGCATTCAAGCAATCTACCAGCCCCGACCTCCTTGGCAGCAGGGATTATCAGGGCCCAGAATATTCCATGTGTATGTTAGGAATATATTTTACACACTACCAGAATCTCTGGCCTAAAGCATAGTAAGTACAGTTAACAACATGAAGATGAAAGTTGTACTGAGAAGCTTCTGTGTGTTTTTCCTTAGGTGTTTCCTATGACAAGTTCAGGGGCTCCAATCAGCGAATACCCATTTATAAGGACAGGATTATTGGGATTTATTGGTCCTGGTGGACTTGTCTTTGTAGTGGGTAAAATGGATGGCTTGATGGTCGTCAGTGGGCGAAGACACAATGCTGATGACATTGTAGCAACAGCGTTGGCGGTAGAACCGATGAAATTTGTCTACAGAGGAAGGTGAGTTACACTTCCTTCTTAACCTAGTTCCATTTTTAATATGCAGATCAGACAAGTCCTTTCCTTTGTGATGTGTAGATGAAAAATGGTAAACCAGGGCAATTCACTTCACCTTGCTGGACATCAGTCTTCTAATCTGTAAAATGAGGCAGTTGTATGGCTTATCTATAAGGCCTCTAAGGAAATTTTTCTGATTCTTTGGAAACTTCACAAGGCTCATGGAATGTATGAGAATATACCAAAAGATCTTTTAAGGTGAAAGTTTAAATATGACAGTATTAATGTAATGCCTCTTGGATTGTTCATTGTAATCTTTATTAAAAACCTTTTTCCTTTCTAGGCACTGTTAGATTTAAGCTATACTTTCATAGAATAACAATAATATCTTACATGCATCTAATACTTAGATTATTAAAGGACCTTCACATTTCCCATCTCATTTTATCCTCACAACAACTCTGTGAGATCGGCAGAGTTTATTAGTAACATTATCTCTATTTTAAAGGAGAGGAAAGTACTTGGAGAAGTTTTAGAACAATTGAATCTCAGAACTGGCCAGAAATCTGAGCCCTTTGGTCCAATGCTATCTTCTCTATTCTATCCACAACAGAGTAGCTTTCTAAAGAGAATCTTCTACTTGCTGAAGCAGCTGATTCCACTTTGGTTAATTCTGCTCGTGAGGAAGGTTTTTCTTACGCCATTAATCTTCCCTACCACCCTCTATATCAACCTACCAGCCTAGCAGGAAGATGAAGGACACCCTTTGCTTCTCCCTTCCACTTTCAGACCCTTCTTATGTTGTTATCACTTAACAACTTCTCCCCCTTTTGAGATTCACTTCATCCAGATACATCACCCTGGCCAGACATGGGTAGCAGTTATCTACTGAGCCCCAGGTCATTCTGCCTCCTTTCTCAAAGAAAGTTCAGTACTTGGCTCACAATTTTCCTCTCCACCCCAGGCTCTGCCCCGTACTTAAATATATATGTTGATGTGTCCAAAACGTTCTGACTTCCCAGTTCATCTTCATTCCCCGTGTCCTGTGCTTCATTCTACTATAACCAGTCATGCCCTTCCTTTCTTCGTTGTTCAGAAGAGTACCGTTTCCACAATACCCAACCCTGAAATTCTTCTGTCTAACCATAGTCTTCTGTCCTTCCATTTCTCTAGATGCTTTCACCACACCTGGACCTATTCTTTGTCCTTACGGTGTTTTCCATTCTTTCCTCATCTTCCTTCTTTCCAAATTCATCATGTTTTATCTAGCCTTATCTTCCTCCTTGTATAATCTTTACATTATAGTTAACCAGTTCAACTTGATGGTACCGCCTACCCTAAAATCCCTTTCCAAACCACAACTCTAGGTAACATCTTCCATTCACCCTCTTATTGAGCAACACTAGAGAGTTAACAACCATTGTGAGTGTGTAGATACCAGAAACGTATTTTATTTAACATCAGCTAGGCCCTCACTGCACCTTGCCGTCTTTTTGCTCTTCCCTCACTGGTTTCCCCTCTCTCTCTCTAAATCCCCACTTCTATTCCAGATCTTCTCTTCTCAACCCACCTCTCCTGCCTTTCTCTGCTTCCTTTCAACAAAGACCTATTTGCTGATTAGTTATCACTGATACAATTTAGACTGTCCATTACAAGTTCCATCCCAGCTCTAAGCCTAAAATCCTCTCCGCTTCATACCGCAGTCTTTCTTTCTTTTGCTGTAATCTCTTCTTGCCTAAGCCAACTACTCTATTTGCAACTTGGATGACATCCCTTCCTTTCTCCTCCAGGATCTTGCTCCTTTGATCATCCCTTCTCTTTGCAAACTGCAATCTCTCTTTATCCGCTGGCTCTTTATATTCTGCATAAAACATACCCAAATCTCCCCACGCTTAAAAAAAATTAATTGTCCATGCCATCCCCCCAAGCTATCCTCTACTCTCTTTCTATGCGAAACTCTTAGAAGAAGCTAGCTCCATTCATTGTTCCAGCTCCTCTCCTCGCACAATTCTAGACTCGGTAAGAACTCACCAGCCCTCTTGTCTAACCCATTCACGACAGAAATCCTTAGTATAACATACTGAATGAATGATCACCGACCGTCTGCTGCAGGACTTCTAGTAAGGGGAGATCCACTACCTCCCAAAGCTGCTCATTCTACTTTGGGACAGCTCTGATTGTTAAGAGGTTTTTCTGAACATCAAACCTACATTTGCCTCTGTCCAGCCTCTGTTCTTTGCTGCCATGTCTAGATAAAATGTGTCTACTCCCTCCCGCGTGTAACATCTTCAGGTGCTTGAATATAGCTCTCTTGTCCTTCTCAGCCTACTCTTCCCCTACACATCCCCAGTTTCTTCAGCCTATCATCCTGTGACATGTTCAGTGCCTTTCACTGAACACTCTCCTGTTTGCCCCTTTCTATACTCAGTCTAAACACATCAATGTCTCTCAGCTTCCCAGGCAACTCCCAAATAAGGTGCAGTGCAAGTGACACTCTGCGTTAAGGAAGGAAGGGCAGGAAGGAAGAGAAAGAAGGTAAGGAAGGAAGGACAAAAGGAAGGAAGGAAGGAAGGGAAGACTTCTTAGGTACCTCTTTTATGCCAGTTACTGTGCTAAGTGTTTTACACATATTATCTTATTCAACACTAACAAAAACACTGGGAGGTGAATATTATTATTTTCACAGTACTGAGAGGTAGGTACTATTATGCCCATTTTTCAGTTGAGGGAACCGAGGCAAACGGGTTAAGTCACTTGCCCAGAATCACAGAGCTAGTAAATGTCTGTAGCTGAATTTAAACTCGGGTCTCTTTTAATGCAGTCCAAGGTTTATTAGTTGCTGACTCATATGGAGCATGCAATCCACTAAACCCCTAATCTCTTTCAGACAGACTACTGTTAACCATGTCTCCCCCATCCTTTACGATGAAGCATACTAAACTTGTAAAATGCTTTCTGGAGCAATCCTTAGCTTATTTAGAAACCTGTGAATGGCTAAGACATGCCTACCACAAAAATAAGGTAATAGCTCCCTTACTATCTTCCCATCCTGGTTGCATTAAAGGAACTATGAAATCTATGATATGAAATCAAAAGATTTGGCTTTGAGTCTGTCTTAACAACCAACATACAAGGTGATTTTTGAGTGAGTTACTTCCTCTGCCTTGGCTACAGTACTCTTATCAATAAAAAGAGGGGTTTGGACTACATACAGTATTTAAGGTCCCTTCTAATTCTTAATGGCCCATGATCCCATGGTCATAATCTTGTGGGAAGGTTGTTGTCATTTAGTCATTCAGTTGTGTCCAACTCTTCATGACCCCATGGATGAATTGGCAAAGATATTGGGGTGGTTTGCCATTTCCTCCTCCAGTGTGTCCCCATTTTATAGACGAAGAACTGAGGCAATTAGGGATTAAGTGACTTGCCCAGGGTCACACACCTAGTAAGTGTCTGAGGTCGGATTTGAATACAGGTCTTCGGGACTCCAGACGTGGTGCTCCATCCACTGTAACACCTACCTGTAGAAAGGTAGGCTTGCTTAAAGGCAAAGCCAGAGTTCACAATTTTGAAAGCAAAATTTCCTGAGTTCTTGAGGCAGAGCTACCCTGTGGGTCCAACCTCAGGTGATGAAACACTGACATCGATGTTGCACCGTAGATTCCTACACTGCTATTTTCTGTAGCTCCTACATAATTACACGCTGAAATCTTGTGTCTTTATTAAAAAACATAAAAACTTGTCATGGGAACTTGAAGGTTAATAAAGACAAAGGTTTCAAACCCCATTTTAAAACCGAGTGCCGTTTTCACTCTCACCCTATCTCTGAGGCTCTTCTCTCTTGCCCTTGCTTTCCTCCCCTTCTCCTCCAAAGCTATTCTTACACTAATAAGTATGTGGGAGCCGGAAGTTACGATTTGCCTTTGGAAGAAGTATTAGTTGGAGCTGTGATCTTCTGAACTGTATAATTAATAGCGGTTATAAAAAGTTCTTTTCTGAAGCTGTGACAATCCACATGGTATCTATCCACAATGCATTCTTCTTAGACGTTGCCCTCCTTTCCTGCCTTCCACAGAATAGCTGTATTTTCAGTGACTGTCCTTCATGATGAAAGGATCGTTATTGTTGCAGAGCAGAGGCCAGATTCCACAGAGGAAGACAGCTTTCAGTGGATGAGCAGAGTTCTGCAGGTAATTCTTTTGTTGTCCCTCAAAACTCTCTTTCCTTTTTCTTATTTCTCAGCATCTTATTCAGCTGTTAAGGTTACTGTTGGACCCTTACCAGGCATAGGTTTCCCCCCCCCTTACCGTTGTGCTCTGGTTTTTTCATTACTTCTGAAAAGAAATTGCATCAGATGTGAAACAGATAGTCTGTTTCCAGTTAACTGATCAAACAGATTAATCACAATAGATAATAGGGGTTTGCAGAACCCTATTCCTGAGAATTTTCACTTCAGAGAGGCCCAAAGGTAAAAGTTCACTATTGCCATCCTAAATGTTTTATTCTCTTTCATCACTTCATACTGGATTATCACTGATATTTCAAAAGCTCAAAGTTCAAAACAAAACAAAAAAAAACCCAGATTATTGAGGGGTTAGAATGACTGTACATGTTTCTGAATTATTAGTGTTTTTTGTGGGAGTCCTTACTAGTATTGCTCATTGGTATTGAGCATTGCTTGGCCCACTGTTGTAGTTGGTGAATGTTTCTGGTTGTGAACATATTGGAAATGCTTTTTGGAATTTTTCTAGGCTATTGATAGTATCCATCAAGTTGGGGTTTACTGCTTAGCTCTGGTTCCAGCAAACACCCTTCCCAAAACACCCCTGGGAGGAATACACTTATCGGAGACCAAGCAACTTTTTCTGGAAGGTTCTCTCCATCCCTGCAATGTCTTGATGTGTCCGCATACTTGTGTTACCAACCTGCCAAAGCCTAGACAGAAGCAACCAGGTATGTTTAATAACTGTAGTGAGTTTATTTCTCAGGTGGACAATTTGTGCATTTAAGGCTTTACTACATTTTAACTTCTTAATTACATATTTTGATTCACTGGGGCCTCACAAAGGAGGAAACTAAAGTCAGTGAAGACCAACCAGATGATGAAAATAAGAACTCTTATAGAAATATTTGTCTGCTGAACCATTAATTGCTTTCTAGTCCCTTTAACCTCCTGTCTCTGGGGTGATAAGGAAAGGAATGTGCTGGTGAATGTTTAACAACCGACTCTCCAAAAATGCACAACCCAGTTGTTACATTTAATCTGCATTATAAACATTATTTCCATCACTTTCTTAAGTCAAGACAATCAACGCAACAGTAAATCAAGACCCTATTTGAATTTTTTGCTAATTTCTGAGTTGTAAATGTTCAAACTGAAAATATTACAATTGGCTCTCCTGAGCTGGTTCCAGTATATCCCTGGAGGAATGTGTACTAAACCCAATAAAGAGACCCAGTTCTAATCTTCACTCTAATGTAAAGAAGCTCTGGGATCTTGGAATAAGTCACTTAATTTTGCTGTATCTTGATATTCTCTTCTGTAAAATGGGATCAGATACTACTCTTACTTCTTACTTCATGGGGTTGTTTGGGGCAGTTGGAAGGCCCAGAAAAGTGGAGACTTGTTCAAGATCACCAAGCTCTAAAGTCTTAAGCCTGAGTCTTTAGATTCTAGGTCTAATGTTCTCTTCACTTCACAACCCTCTACTCTCTGGGTTATTATTGTATGTAAAGGTATTTTTGAAAAATCTTAAGCAGTATAAAAATGAAAAACAGTGACCTCATCATATGTCAGTCATTCCATTAGCTTTTTGAGTCTTATTTTCAATTTCTTCATTAATATGTCAAAGGTCAGGAATTTCCTCCACCAATTTAGGTCGCATCTGCCTTGTTAGACAGTCTTTGAGACTTGTTTGTTTAATCCAGATCTATTCTTTCATTTGTATAGGGGATTCCCTTTGAAAATTACTCTATGAATTCAAATTGCTTCCTTTTTTTACAGCTTATAGGATCATAGGTCTCCAGCTGGAAGGAGTCTTAGAGGTTATCTAATTTAATTACTATATTTTACATATATGGAAAACAGCTGAGGCCTGTGGAGGTCAAGGGACTTGCCTAAGGTCAGATAGCCAGTATGTGTCAGAAATAGGACTTGAACCCAACTTTTTTTCTGATTCTGCAGCCAGCTCTCTGTCCACTGCTACATTTTCGTTAGAAAAGTTATGACAGAAAGAAACAAAAAAGAAAGGAAGGAAGGAAGGAATTTAGACCTCAGTGAGGATAATTTGAAAATGTGGCCAAGTCATTCCTTCAACAAGAGATAGACAATCCATTGTCGTACCATAAGCCTTTTCACCATCATCGTATCAGCCAAAGCTTACACTCTCCCAGAAGAACACTCTCCCAGGGTCCAAAACCCAGGATCATTCCTACATTCCAGAGAGCCGTCGGAGTTACCCTTTGATGAAGAATTATCTTAAATATATCCATAAATACAGAAAGATTATTGGTCCTTTACTAACATGGGCTAGGTTTCTTAAAATGGGACCCAGCCAGTTAGACTTATTTTCCACTTTTCTAGAAAAATTATACTTGTTTATTATTGTTATCTTTCTTTTCTGAATAATTTCCATTTCTTAATGGTAACATAATATAAATTGTTCAAAAATTTATCTCACCTTTTGTTTTTTTCTCAATTCTTGGCTTGTTTGGTTACTCTCATAAACTGTAGGCTTGTGGTTCCCAGAAATATAGCCATTTGTCTAAATAACACATGTATAACAGCTCTGTTCAGGGAGACATTAGGAAACACAATGCATCACACTTCTGTGAACATATTAAAAGGATGAAAAATCACCTTTTGTGTCTCATATCATCTCAGAACATAAATAATGTTGGGAATCATAAAACAACAATTACTTTATCTAGGCATATCTGTCTCTGTCTCATTAAAATTTATAGTAGGATCAGAACTTACCAGGGGTGGATTCTGTAAAGTATGATGTGATTGCATTCTGTAGCTGAATGCCCACTCCACTGTTTAAGAGCCAATTCATTACTACCGACTTTGAGTGAGTGACCCAGACAATCAGTGGTTCTGGATATGAAGGAAGAGAAGAGAATCCTTGAGAGGGGAGCAGAGGAAGGAAAGGACCAGTTAGATTTGGTCAAAAGGTCTGTATGGGAGGCATGCCCCACAGTGTGATGCCATTCCAATAACCAGAGGGATCGATTAGTTTATAATGGGTCAAGGAGAATTCCTTTCCTACCTCACAGGTCACTATAGACATCATGTACAGACAAAAATTGACATCCATCTGAATGATTGAATAAGTCCACAGAACTAAAGATATTGTGGTATCTGAAGCACGGCCCACTTTGCTAGAATCTGAGACTTGGAAGGATGGTTCAATGAAGAGATTCAGTACCCCTTTGGTGTGTTTTAGGACTATCTAGACCAACCCTTTAGACTTTACTCTTCGAAATATTTTTTTTTCTTTTTCATGAATATACTCTTGCTGTCGGAAGACCTGGGTTCAAGTCGCAACTCTGTCACTTAATAAATGTGTAGCCAAGTGATGAAGTGTATAAAAGGTCTAGAGTCAGGAAGACTTGAGTTCAAATCCAACCTCAGACCCCGCCTAGATTTGTCATGTTGGGCAAGTCATTAAATCCCTGTTTGCCTCAGTTTTCCCATCTGAAAAATGGTGATAACACTACCTACTTCCTAGGATTGTTGTGAGGTTGAAATGAGTTAATATTTGCAAAGCACATAGCAGAGAACCTGGCACAGAGAGAGCATTATATAAATACAATGATGATGCTAATGATGCGTGGTCTTAAGCAAAGCACTTTATTTCTCTGAACCTCAGTTTCCTCATATGTCAGATGAGTGGTTTGGGTTAGATGATTTCAAAATTTCCCTTCTAGCTCTAGTAGTTAAATTATCATTACAATAAAAATGTTTATTCAGTATCTCCTATATGAATAACACCATAATACAACATTAAAACAATTTCCCTCTCCCCATATATACCATTGGTAGCAGCTCTGATAAGCACCACCCTTCTACCTGCTAATAGTACACAATTAATTTTTGAAAACTTTTTATTGTTTATAGTTTTTTTAAATAACAAGTATTTTATTAATCTGTTTTACTCCCCCTTGTGCATACCTTTGTTGGACAGATTTTAAAAAATGAAAAACAGTTCCCTTAATATGTAGCTACATAGTCCAGCAAAACAAATTCCCACAGTGGCCGTATATGAACAAATATGTCTCTTTCTGCATATAAAGTTCATTGCCTCTCTGTGAGGAGATAGGTAGCATGTTTCATGTTCATTCTTTTAGAGCATAATTATTTTGGAAAAAAAAAACATCAAGTAGATATATCTGTATTCAACAATGCAGACATTAATTGGCCGTAAAACTGCCAATGGGGCTGGCTGCAATACCATAAAAACAAGCTGTAATGGCAGAATTTTTGAGATTCCCAGAGATGCATTTCATCAGAGAGCCTGGAGGAGGACGCCACATATGACAGTGTACAGCATAGTCCATGGAGAGCAGCAGTGCCTCAAAGGGAAGAAATGTTTCTTGTGGTTGTGAATTATCTGTCTTACAGCATCTCTTCTAGATAAAGCCTCTGCCCAAGCCCCCATGTGAATTTGTCAACCATTGTAAGGTACAGAGATCAATAAGAGCTAGAGATGTAGATGCTGATAAATCTGTAAATGGGAGCTACAGATGCCTGCATTCTGGGGCTGCATCTCCATTTTATATATTCAGTTTGGAAGAAGGGTGATATACTACAAGAGTTTTTCTTCCATACTCTCCTCTCTTTAAGTAGAGAGGAAAATCATCTGTTCTCAGGAAGGACAGATTTTATAAATGAGGTGTAACTAGGAAGTCTTCTGTCTCCTAGCAACAACTGGAGAAATAAGTTTTCAGGGCTCCATGAAGAGCAGGCAGCCGAAAGCCTCCAAAGTTACAGAAAGTTGAGGTCAGCAGAAATAATTGGAAGAGAGGACCTGCCTAGTCTAGTTCTAAAGGTCCTCCAAAAAGTACAACATGGAAACCTGATGTCCCTTAAAAAGCCTGACATCCATATATACATTGGAATCAGCCTCTAGACATCTGGTTAAAAGGAACGTCTTGCCTAGCCCTCAGTCACAATGACTTCAGACACCAACAAATAAACACCAACGAGAGAAAGCCAATAGTTAACAAGCAAGGATGCATACTACAAGGGTATTTAATTGCCCATGCAAAAGCAATTAAATCAAATATGCTCTACGTAGCACAGCGGTTCCATTCATTTTGGCCACACGGTTACGCTACCAAGTTTCCTTTGTATTTTGTTTACGAGGAGAATATTCTTCTGCAGCGTGATCATTTTACCAAAGACAAAGCTAATCCTTACTCCTCCCCTCCTCTATACACACACACAAAAGTACATGAAAGTCAACAAAGGCTTTGCTAAACATGCTAGGCACAGTTTGATTACCGCACACGCTCACTAGTTTAAAAATTGCCTGAAACCAGACTCCCAGAATGGTAACTCAGAAATCGCTCCATGAAGGTTACGGTCACCTGGAGGATTGCGTTCAGTTCCGGGTGCTGATAAGCTGGAGGGCATCCCGTAGAAGGCAAGGGGATGGTTGAAGGCCTCAAATCAATGCCATAGGAAGATCATTTGAAGGAACTGGGATGGTTATCCTGAAGAAGAAGAAACCCCAGGGGAAAACGTAGCTGGCCAGGAGCATCTGAAAGGCTGTAATGTGGAAGAGGGATTAGCTTTGCTGTGCTTGTCCTCAGAGGGCAGACATGGAAGCAGGCAGGCGGACGTAGCGAAGTCGAAACAATTAGAGCTAGCCACGATAGAATGGACTTGTGGCTCCCCTGTCACTGAAGGTCGTCATCAGATGCTAAGTGGCCATTTGTTGGATGTGTAAGATAATCAATTCTTTTTCTTTTTTTTTGAATCAATTCTTTTTCTTTTTCTTTTTTTTGAATCAATTCTTTTTCTTTTTTTTTGAATCAATTCTTTTTCTTTTTCTTTTTTTTTTGGAATCAATTCTTTTTCAAGTAGGAGTCTTTTTCAAACATTGGAGCTCCATTCCAACTCTGAAATTCTGTGGTGTAACCCTGAATTCTCATTCCCCACCTTCATTACAATAACCTTTTTTTTTCCTTGCCTTTGACTGGCTTCATGCCAGAGCCAGGTGTGATCCCCTAGGCTGGCAATGACATTTAGGATGAGCAGCTGCCTAGCTTCAGAAAAAATAATCACGCAAGCTGGCCTTTTTTAGGTGACCAACAACTATTGAGCGACCACCTACTCTAGAACCAATACCATGTATTTTCTTTCTCTACAACTTCCCAAACCAACCAGTCAAACTTGAGAGTGGTGCTTATAATAAAGTATAGGTTCACTCACTAAGCCTTTCCCCGTTCCACCTCCCATCCTCTGGACAAAGTTATCCATGTCTTATGTGTAGCATGTGTGTTTGTGTCTGTACATTTGTATGTCTGTGTGTATGCGTGTATTTGTTTACACTGATATTTTGGTTCAGTCTTGAGTTCATCAGTGTAGGAAACTCCTCCTACCAATGCATATCAGAAGCTCTTGTACAACTTACAGAGTTGCTTGGGGTGCTGAAAAGTTGTGAGCTGCCCAAAGTCACACAACATTATAACAGGCTGCCTCTCATGCGTGTGTGTTTATGTATAAATATGTATTCATCTATCTACCCCTAGTTTTCCTCAGTTTCCTCAACTATAAAATGGGGATAATAATAGTACCTATTTCCTCAGGTTGTTGTAAGAATAACATGAGATAATATTTGTGAAGCACTTAGTGCCTGGCATATAATAGGTACTTAATAAATGCTTCCTTCTTCCTTTCTGCTTTCCTTCCTTCCTTCCTAAGAGTGTGTATGTATATGTGTATAGACACATGCACACAAATACAGACTAAATGATATGGTATGACCTGACCTTGGAGCCAAAAAGACCTGGGTTCAAGTCCTGCCTTTGATACATCCTGACTGTGTGACCTGTGACACATCACTTAACCTCTCTTAGCTCTAGGCAGTTCTCTAGGACTGTAAGTCATAGAAGAGATCTATGCCGGTAGAAAAGCTTTTTCATGGAGATTTCCCTATACCAATGAATTCACAGCCCCTATCCATGTGTATATTCACTTGAACATGTGTATGCATGTATATATACTTGTATGTATACATATACACAAAGTGTATGTACATAGGTCCATCTGAATGCTTATCAACTTGGGCATTCCTTTCACTGATGACAATTGGATACATCTCCTGTACATCTTATTAGATGGATCTATATGAGCCCTAGGCAGCTAGGTGGCACAATGGGTATAGCACTGAGCCTGGAGTTAGGAAGACCTGAGTTCAAATTTGGCTTCAAACACTCTAGTTATATGACCCTGGGCAAGTCATTTAATCGCTGCCTGCCTCAGTACCCTCATCTGTAAAATAGGGATAATAATAGTACCTATCTCCTAGGGTTGTTGTGCAGACCATATGAAATAATCCTCATAAAGCACTTAGTGCAGCGCCTTGTGCATAATAAGCACTGTATAAATGTTTTTACTGTTGTTGTTGTAACCCTCTCCCCCCAAAAAATATCACCTACTGGCCAACCTTCTAATGATAATCCTCTCAGAATTTAGCTAAGTGGTACTTGTTTGTAGGTATTTACCTATAATCTTTCACAAGGTACATGGTCAAAGCATTTCCAGCTTGGTGTATGCTATACACTATATTTCTACTTGGTCTGTTCTAGTAGGTCCAACACTCTCATGGTTGTAACCTTTGAGAACTCAGGGCGAATTCCATTCCACAGAGATGTTAGGACTGTAATTAGAGTGTATATATCAGTAAGTGTGTGTGTATGTATGTTTGTGTATGAATGCATGTGTACTTATGAATGTCTTACCTGATTATATGATCTTTTTCACAAACATAAGAAAATTTGAACAGAGGATTTTAGTTTGTATTCTAAGAACAAACAAACAGAACCTTACTATGATGGGTATGTAATTCTAGCCTGAAGACACACCACCCACCACTGCCAAACACTATGATTCGCTTTGGCCTAGGTATTTAAAAAACTCAATGGGATGTTGGGTTCAAAATGTGCTTGAATAAACTGGTAGTTCTGTCTCCTTAACATGACTATCTTGGTGTCTCAGGGTCATTCTGTCAAAAAAAAAATGCAGACACGGTGTCTGCCAGTGGTGATATTTTGAGGTCTGTAGATTAAGTCCTTAGAGATCCAAGGAGTCATTAGAAATTCTAAAGAAGGATTCTGTAGTTCATAAATTGTAGGCAATTATTTTCATTTTTTAAAGACATGCTTACCATACATTGCATGATAGTTGGAACATAGATTTAGAGTTAGAATGGCTCTTGCAGGCCATAAAATCCAACCTCTTCATTTTATAGATGAGGAACTAGATGCCAAGTGAGGTTTACAATCTTGTGCAGGGTCACATAGTATCTGTTGCAGGATTTGAACCCAGTGGTTCAGACCAGTGGCTTATCTACTATACCCTGCTTTCTTTCAAAATATCTGTGTTACACTTCAATGATGTGTTCTTAAACCAGAAAAAAAGAAGCAGAGTCTGGGTGTAATAGGAACACTGAATTGAGAACTCTCATCCTCTCTCATCTGTGTGTTTTGTACATAATCTTGAGTAAAACATTTCATTGCTTTAGACCTCAGTTTCCTTATCTGCAAAATAAGGGAGTTGGAGCAGCTAATCTCTAAGTGCCCTTCCAACTCTAAATTCCAAGATTCCCATGAGTAACAGTAGAATAAAAAAAGGGCATTGATTTTGCAGCATCTTTTATTTCGAAACAGTTTCTGTTTTCAAACGCTTGTTGTAGATTTGATGAAAGTACTTGAAATTTCTTCAATCAATAAAATGGATAGTCAAGTGATTCCTCCTCCTCTTGCCCCAATAATCTCATTCCTGGAACCTAACTCAAAAGATTCTGCAAAATGTGAGACTTCACATATAGGGAACTCTCCATTGTGTGTAATAATGGAGGGGAGAACAGTGGCAGAGGTAATCCAAAACGTCATTTCTCATTTGTCTTTGGAATGGTGTGTGTGTGTGTGTGTGTGTGTGTGTGTGTGTGTGTGAGAGAGAGAGAGAGAGAGAGAGAGAGATTTGCTAATAGCTTATATTTGAATTAGTTTTCACTCCGAGTCCAAAATAAAACTTTTTGTTGTGATTGATTCAACCCAAGATATTAAAGAATTAACGTTTGCTCTCACAATAATCCACGTGTTGCTTTTAAAATGCTATAACAGCCAGATTTGTCCCTATGTTAAGTTAGTCAGGCGACTGGCTCTCTTGCCCAAAGGGGAACAATATTAATTTGAAAGTGGAACCTTGTAATTTTCCTTACTCATTTTCTGCTATCTCCCACTAGAAATTGGCCCGGCCTCTGTGATGGTGGGGAACCTTGTTTCTGGGAAAAGGATTGCTCAAGCTAGCGGCAGAGACCTGGGGCAGATAGAAGACAATGATCAGGCCCGAAAGGTAAGCCTGGGAGTGTTTGGACTGCAAATGTGAAGCTAAAATAGGGCTAATATAGCCCTTTGCAGACTTGGGAGTCACTCTGCATTTTGAAGTCTCTGACAGTGTCTGTACTCTATACTCACTCTTGTCTCTGAAATAGAGACACTGTTTTATTGGGTTTGCGGACAGGTGGACACTTTTTAAAGAGAGACAGTAGGCATGTGATCAGAACCATTGAATGATGTGGAAGAGGGACGACCTCGGTGCTGGTATTTAGCTCTTTAGTTTGGTAATTGAGGGGAAGTAGGAAGGAATTCTTAGAAATCATTACCTGGCTTCACTCCACATTCTTTAAGCTACCTGGCATTCCAGCTTTCCCTGTTCCTCCTGTCCCTTCTGTTCCTCAATTCTTCTTGCCGCTGTGGCTCCCTGGGGAAACCCTGCTTCTGACCCCTCTTCCCTGAAGCTCTTGTTGCTTCAGATTGTGAGGAAATAACAGCTCAGAAACCCAGGGGTGAGAGCCAAGTTTCTTCAGAGGAGTTCATGGCCTCAAGGGCAGGAGAGGGAGAATGCCTGGAAACTAAAAACTCCTGTTCTTTTAAAATAATTTTACCTTGAGTATCATCCTGCCTCACACAAGGTTAGAAATTCCTCTGTTATTCTCAGACTTAAAGACCTAAAGTGGTGTTAAACGTTTAATTGTATCAGGTAGGCCTCCTAGCTGAGAAGGAATTTTGGTTTAAGTATATAGTTAATTGGACACAGCAAAATCACCATATAGCTGCAGCTGCCATTTTGACAGAAGCGACCAAATGTTTATGTACCTCGCTAGGCTGTGAGATTGTTTTGCTATGGGTTACATCACTTTCCACTTCTCCCACATGGTACGTGTGTGTGTGTGTGTGTGTGTCTTTCTCTGACTGTCTCTGTTTCTCTGTGTATGCATCTGATATTGTGTGTGTCTCCACACACAAACACACACACACACACACACACACACACATGCACAATGCTGGACAGACCATTGAAATACCAGCATTATAATGATCACAGAAAGTGACCCAGCGTCCTGTATATAATTGTGAAACTACTGTGCTTTCTTTTGCCCTGAAGAAATCACCCCTAGAGATAGTCTACTTAGTAGACAAGTGTAGAAATCTCCTCTTTTAAAAAAATCTAAATACAGAGGAGCTTTGGGTACCTTCTGAAGCCTTTCAAGGGACAGAAACACTCATTTATCCCTCATGTACAGGATTTGAGTTCTGCCATTGTACAGATTTGGAGTTTGCACACCTACCAGGGGCTTTGGTCTGTGGGCCAACAAGTCAGGGGTAAGAAACATTGAAATATGTTAGGCTAAAAAATTGTAACCAAACTGCTTAGTCTTGGTTATGTTTGCAGAAGATTTTAGCCGCAGAATATAATTGCGCTGCACTTCCTATGGCATTTGGATTGGGGAAAATGGCAGCTGGTAGTGAGCCTGAAAGCTTTCCAGTCAGAATTGCCTTATTCTGTTGCTGGAAAGGAGAGCAAAAGGCCCCAATTCCAATAGCCTGAGCCTAATAATTGTGTTTTGTTGTATTGTAGTTCCTGTTTCTCTCTGAAGTTTTGCAGTGGAGAGCTCAGACCACTCCTGACCATGTCCTCTACACGCTGCTTAACTGTAGGGTAAGCCATTTTTGCCTTTTACTTTCAGAAGACTCATCTTATGGAACATCTATTGTAATTCTTTAGCGTTTTTAGTGTCATTGTTTTCTCCCTTTCATAACATTCCTGACTTGGTCTTTTTTTTAATTTCTTTCTTGTATTAAATAGTTTTAAATTTGTGATCACTTCTTTTTGGTTATTGATTTTTTTTCTATTCAAGTAGGACTAGCAATCATTATTTGTATTTTAAATTCAGGTAGATACAGTTTATATTTAGCAACATTGTTTACAGAATACCTCTCTTCCCCCATCCCTCCCCCTCCCCAAGCCTCGAAGATGCGTGTGTGTGTGTGTGTGTGTGTGTTGTGTTGTGTTGTGTTGAATTTTTGCTTCAGACCTGGGATTTCATCAATGTGAGGAACTTCAAGGTGGGGAAACTCCCTCTGTCAATGCAAATCAGTAGTTCACCTATACCTTCTAGTCTTAGCAAGTTGCCTTGGGTACTGAGAGGTTAAGTGATTTGTCCATAATCAAAAAGCTCTTATTTGTCAGAAGTAGGACTTGAATTCATGTATTCCTGACTCTAGAGAATCATAGTTTGAGAGCTGGACGGAGGGCCTCATAGCCATCAAGTGCAACCCTTGTTGGTGGTGGTAGTTATCCTTTGTTTTTGAAGAGGACCAGTGAGATCACACGGGTGACGTCTTGACTAGATTAGATCGGATTTAAGTGAGGCAGAGCTGCACAAAGTTATTGGCCTCACTTTCTCTTCCAGAGCCACTGACGTCCAGTGGCAAGACAAAGGTAAAGATGACTGTGGATGTCCCAGGATACAGTGGGTGACCGTGGTCTCTCTAAATTAAGGTCTTCCCCAGATCTCCGTCTGTCTGAGGCCATGCCCATTCAATGACTAAGGTCTAGGTAAGAATTGAGATGACAGATGGACCAATTTACCATCACAAAGACATCAGTCTGGAAGAGGAAGCCCCTCTAGAGCTTCCACTCACTTCACTTTGCATCAGTTCATGTAAGTCTTCCCAGGTTTTTCTGAAAGCATCCTGCTCATCATTTCTTATAGCATAGTAGTATTACATGACAATCATATACCACAGCTTGTTCAGCCATTCCACAATTGCTGAGCATCCCCTCAGTTTCCAATTCTTGGCCACCACAAAAAGAGTTGCTGTAAATATTTTTGTGCATATAGGTCCTTTTCCTTTTCCTTTGATCTCTTTAGGAGACAGACCTATTCATGGTATTTCTGAGTCAGAGGGTGTACAGTTTATAGCCCTTTGGGCATAACTCCAAATTGCTCTGCAGAATGGTTAGATCAGTTCACAACTTCACCAACAGTGCATTAGTGTCCTAATTTTTCCACATCTCCTCCAACATTTGTCATTTTTCTTTTCTTTCATATAAGCCAATCTGATGGGTGTGAGGTGGTATTTCAGAGTTGTTTTAATTGGAGTTATTCTTGAAAAGGAAATTAGCCTAAGGATTAGATTTAAAAGATTCAGATTCTTTAGTTGACTAAATAACATCAATTTTGAACTGAAGGTATACTTTAAAACTTGAAGGAAGGTCATTTTCAGGACAAGTAGAAGAACATACAACACAACCTAATTTGTGTTCTTCATCTCTTCACCTCTCAAAAGATCTTCTTAGTGATATAGCTTGCCCAAAAGAACCTCACTGCTTTCCCTGTCCTAGAGTTTTTAAGTCTCAATTTAATTGAATTCAAGTTTTTATCAAATATCTATTATGTGCTAAGCATTTCATTGAGTATACAAAGATAAAAATGAAAAACAGTCCCTGACCTCAAGGAGCTTACATTCTACTGAGGAAAACGATATGTACACAAGATAAGCCAATTACAAAATATGTACAAAGCAAATATAAGATAATTTAGAAGTGGCAATGCTAACATTTGGAAGGATCAGGAAGAACTTCAGAGAGGAAGTGCCATGTAAGCTGATCCTTGGATGGACTAGAAATTTCTAAAAGTCAAGTTGAAGAGGGGAAGCATTCTAGGCATGAGCATGATTCTGCAGAGGTGTGGAGAAGAGAAAAGAATGGGAACAAGCATTTATTAAGTGCCTATTGTATGCCAAAGCACTTTAGAGATAATATCACATTTGATCTTCATACCAACCCTGTAGAGTAAGTACTGTTATTAACCTCATTTTACAGTTGAGGATATTGAGGCAGGCAGAGGTTAAGTGATTTGCCCAGGGTCACACAGATAGTTAAGTGTCTAAGGCTGGATTTGAACTCAGGTCTTCCTGACTCCAGGCCCAGGGCTCTATCCCCTGTGCCACCTAACATGACTCACAAGAGGCAGAAAACAGAATGGTGTGCATGGGGGGAACAGTAAGTAGCCAGGAGAGGCTTTCTCACTTCATAGGACATTTTCACATTTTCCCCCCCAGGAAAGAGGAGGGAAATAGAACTCCCAACTATTTTCATTTTTGGTTTTATATACACGCAGTACCTTAGGTCTTATTTCACCAGTCAGTTCATTTCATAAACATCCCTACTTCACTTTTTCCACATCTTTGCCCAGACTTTTGATGGTTTCTGTTGATCATGGGATCTTAGAGTTAGAAGGCATCTTCTCAGTTATCTAGCCCATTTTACAGATGAGGACATTGATGCCCAGACAGGTAAAGGTATTTATTTACCTCTGGTCACTGTCTGAAAAGATGAAGACAGAGCCAAGACAGCTACAGCACATGTGCACTCAAGACTTTGCCCTCCAGAAATCCTTTAAGATATGAGTAAAGCACATATATTGATTAGCTTATGGCTGCTCCTAATTAATCTAAAGACCAGCTAAGAACACATAGAATTCTTTAGCCTAAAGAGATAGTACAGGCTAAAAATAAGTACAGCTTTAAGAATATTTAGCTAAATTCATAGCTAATCAATGGAGCTTATCAGCTTACTTAGGGACATTTGGCATTTCAGAATACAGATCTAACTTTAGGGGTTGATATGGTAGAAGACCAATGTGATGGTCTCCCACAAATCACCCACTGATACAATAGAAGAGGCCTGGAGGCCACTAGGTGGTGCAGTGGATAGAGCACCAGTCCTGGAGTCAGGAGGACCTGAGTTCAAATCCGGCCTCAGACACATAACACTCATTAGCTGTGTCATTGTGGGCAAGTTACTTAATCCTGATTGCCTCGCCAAAGTATGTATCTATATCTATATCTATAAATATAAAAGAGGCCCAGTACTGGCATAATTGGGAGCATTGGTCTAACCTAGTATGAGCTCCTGAATCTATAGCCATTTATTTCAGTTACAGAATGGTTGCTCTGGAAATTGTGTCCCACTGAAAATGAACAAATTTTTCTGAAGAGGACAAAGAACACAGCCAGATTTCAGTTGATGGAAATGTAGCCACAAATTAAACCTAAATAGTTTTTAGGTTAAACTGAGGAAAGGAGAGTTTGCCTCCTATAGGGATGACTTCCTATTTCCCAAATATTACAAAACTGCCAGACAGCTGGGAACACAGAAAGGAATTACTGGACAAAGATTTCCATATACTGTGAGCAATTCCCTTTCTAAACAAGAAGCGCTACCTTCCTTCTGTTCCTTAATTTTTGTTTTTTCTTAGTCAGGACTTGTGACTTTTATCAGTGTAGGGACCTCCTCACCAATTCAGATTGGCACATTTTCTGTACTCTGTAGTCACAGGACCATTATTTTCGAGTGGAAAGGGACCTCAGAAATCATCTAGGTCTAGTTCCCCTATTTTACAAATAAGGAGACCGAGTCCCAGAGAAGTGAAGTGATTTTCGTAAGGATGAACACCCCCCACTATAAAAGGCAGGACCTGGATCTTAATCTCCCCACCTCCAAGGCCAGCCCTCTACTACATCATGAAGCTTCTTGTTCCATTGTGTTTCTACTCTGATAATCCAAAGGTGTCAGATTCAAAGAATTGCATTCAGTTCTTTTCTCTCCTTCCTAGAGCTGAAACTGAATTCATATTTGAAGGCATAAGGCATAATTTCTACAGTTGTTATATTGTCATTTCCACTTAAAATTATCTGCAAAGCTAGAAAAGAATCCTGATGCTATCTGACTAGCTCTTCATTTTCAGGTAGATTACTAACTCCTTTGGAAATGATGGAACCTTTGGTTCATAAATGTGAGTGATGCATGACAATATCTGACTGCACTGTTCTGCTCTGAGGCCCTCTCATCTTTAAGCCCCCTCCTCTTTGTTGGCATTGCAGTGAATAAATACAAGAGCTGTGTGCTAGGGCTTAGTGGTGAATAGGGATTAGATTCATTGCAAATCAAGGAAAATCTCATATTCTTTGGATTGGTGGAAGGGAGAGAGAGAGAGAGAGAGAGAGAGAGAGAGAGAGAGAGAGAGAGAG